AGGGAAAGATTTCTTAGCTATGACACTAAAAGCATGATCCTGAAAGAAAAAAAATTGTAAATTGGACTTCATCAAAATTAACAACTTTTTGTGAAAGTCACTGTCAAGAGAATGAAAAGGCAAACCCTAGAGAAGGAGAAATAGTTTTGAATCATGTACCTGACAAAGGACTAGTATATAGAATATATAAGAATTTTCAAAACTAATCAATGAGAAAACCACCCAATTAAAAATGCGCAAGATTCTTTTCATTATTCTATGTATGAATTATATATATCCTTTATTTTTAAAAATATTTTATTTATTTATTTGAGAGAAAGAGAGCAAGCAAAAAGGGGGAGGGGCCACAGCGAAAGGGACAAGCAGATTCGTGCTGAGCACAGAGCCGGATGTGGGGCATGATCCCACAACCCTGAGATCATGACCTGAGCCGAAATCAAGAGTCAGTTGCTTAGCTGACTGAGCCACTTAGGCACCTCTACGTATATTCTTTCTTTCTTTCTTTCTTTCTTTCTTTCTTTCTTTCTTTCTTTCTTTCTTTCTTTCTTTCTTTCTTCTTTCTTTTTTTCTTTCCTTTCTTCTTTCTTTTTTTCTTTCTTTCTTCTTTCTTTCTTTCTTTCTTTTTTTCTTTCTTTCTTTTCTTTCTTTCCTGAAACAGAAGCAGGGATATAGGCAGAGGGAGAAGCAGGCTCTGTGCAAGGAGCCCAATGTGGAACTCGATCTGGGGACTCCGGGATCATGCTCTGAGCTGAAGGCAAACACTCAACCACTGAGCCACCCAGGTGCCCCCTTTTTAAAAAAATATATACATCCTTTAAATAATACTTTATCATTATAACCTGGATTTTTTGCATGACATAGGCATTAAGGGGATAATTTTTAAAATTTCACATAGTTGAGCAATTTTAGAGGCTGCTTTTATTGTTTATCACATTACAGAGCAAAAATATAAGATATATAGGTTTTCTGCCTTTCTGATACTTATATTTTTCTATCTAAGCAATCCAAAAAAGTAATCAACATCGGCTTAGTTAAAAAAAAAAAGTGGTTCTTCTGTCTTGCTATTAAATCTTACTGTTACAGAGTTATTTTTACATCATTTCTTATTTGATATAATTTGTAAAAGTGTGTTTTATCTTTAAAAATGTTTTACTTTAATTCCAGTATAGTTAACATATGGTGTTATATTAATTTCAGGCACACAGTATATAGCTTCAACAATTCTATTTTCTTTTCTTTTCTTTTTTTTAAGATTTTATTTATTTATTCATGAGAGTCAGAGAGAGAGAGAGGCAGAGAGACAGGCAGAGGGAGAAGCAGGCTCCATGCAGGGAGCCCAAATGGGACTCTATCCCGGGTCTCCAGGATGAGGCCCTGGGCTGAAGGGGGCGCTGAGCCACCGGGGCTGCCCAGTGTATTCTTAATCCCCTTCCCCTGTTTCACCCATTCACCCACCCACCTCCTCTCTGGTGACCCAGTTTGTTCTTTATAGTTAAGAATCTGTTTTTTGGGCAGCCCTGGTGGCGCAGCGGTTTGGCGCCGCCTGCAGCCTGGGGTGTGATCCTAGAGACCCGGGATCGAGTCCCACGTTGGGCTCCCTGCATGGAGCCTGCTTCTCCCTCTCCCTCTGCCTGTGTCTCTGCCTCTCTCTCTCTCTGTATCTATGAATAAATAAATAAAATCTTTAAAAAATCTGTTTTTTGGTTTGACTCTTTTCTTCTTTCTTAGTTTTGTTTCTTAAATTCCACATATGAATATTTGTCTTTATCTGACTGACTTATTTCACTTAGCATACTATCTAGATCCACCCATGTTGTTTCAAAAGGCAAGATTTCATTCTTTTTTATGGCTGAGTAATATTCTATTGTACATACTACCTCTTTTTTATCCGTTCGTCTATGGATGGGCACTTGGGTTGATTCCATAGCTTGGCTACTGTAGATAATGCTGCAATAGGCATAGGGGTGCATATGTTTTTTCAAATTAGTTGTTTTCATTTTCTTTGGGTAAATACCCAGTGATGGATTTTCTTTTTATTTTTTCTATTATTTACTTAATTTAAATTATCTAAATTTATTTTATAATACATATTTATATACTAATATATTTATTATTTTAACTTTATTTTATTATTTATTTATTTCTATTTTTAATCTTTTGAGGAACCTCCATATTAGTTTCCACAGTGGCTGCACTGTTTGCATTCCCACCAACAATGCACAAGGGATCCTTTTTCTCTACATCTTCATCAACACTTGTTGTTTCTTGTGTTTTTTATTTTAATCATTCTGGAAGGTGTGAGGTGGTACCTTGTTATAGTTTGATTTGCATTTCCCTGATGATAAGTGAGGTTGAGCGTCTTTTCATGTGTTTGTTTGCCATCTGGATGTCTTCTTTGGAGAAATGTCTGTTTAGGTCTTTGCCTACTTTTTAATTGGATTACTTGGGTTTTTTTTTTTTTTGGTGTTGAGTTGTATAAGTTCTTTATGTAGTTTGGATATAACCCCTTATTGGATATATCATTTGCAAATATCTTCTCCCATTCAATAGGTTATCTTTTAATTTTGTTGATTGTTTCCTTCACTGTGCAGAACCTTTTATTTTGATGTAATCCCAATAGTTTATTTTTGTTTTTGTGTTTTCCTCTTCCTTGCCTTAGTATACAAATCTGGAAAATTGTAGCTATGGATGTGTCTGAGAAATTACTGCCTATGCTCTTTTCTAAGAATTTATGGTTTCGGGTCTCACATTTAGGTCTTTAGTCCATTTTGAGTTTATTTTTGTATATGGTGTAAGAAAGTGGTCCAGTTTCATTCTTTTGCATGTAGCTGTCCGGCGTTCCCAACACCATTTGTTAAAGAGACTTTTTTTGCATTGTATATTCTTCCCTCTTTTGTTGAAGATGAATTGACCATATGATCATGGGTTTATTTCTGGGCTCTCTATTATGTTCTATTGATCTATGTGTCTCTTTTTGTGCTGGTATCATACTGTTTTGATTACTATAGCTTTGTAGTATATCTCAAAATCTGGGATTGTGATACTTCCAGTTTACTCTTCTTTTTCAAGACTGCTTTGGCTATTTGTGGTCTTTTTGTGGTTCTATACAAATTTTATTTGTTCTAGTTCTGTGAAAAAAGAACATTTGGTATTTTTTTAAAAGATTCTTAAAAATTTATTCACTCATGAGAGACAGAGAGAGAGGCAGAGGGAGAAGCAGGCTCCCTGCAAGGAGCCCGATGTGGGACTCAATCCCGGGTCCTGGGATCATGCCTTGAACCGAAGGCCGATGCTCAACCACTGAGCCACCCAGGCGTCCCGCTTTTGGTATTTTGATAGGGATTCCATTAAATCTGTAGATTGCTTGGGTTGTATGAACATTATAACAATATTTGTTCTTCAAAAAAATGGGCAAAAGATTTTGACTGGATACTTCATGACAGGAGATATACAGATGGCAAATAAACTCATGATATATGTTCAACATCATTAGTAATTAGAGAATTGCAAATAGCAATAAGATAATACCATACCCAGGACGCCTGGGTGGCTCAGCGGTTTAGCGCCTGCCTTCTGCCCAGGACGTGATCCTGGAGTCCCAGGATCGAGTCCCACATCCGGCTCCCTGCATGGAGCCTGCTTCTCCCTCTGCTTGTATCTCTGCCTCTCTCTCTCTCTCTCTCTCTCTCTCTCTCTCTCTCTCTATGTGTCTTTCATGAATAAATAAATAAAATCTTAAAAAAAAGACAATACCATACCCCTATTAGAATGGCTGAAAACCCAAACCAATCCTATCTAACTCAACTGAAACTAAAACAAAACAAAAACTGACGATAAACACTGGTGAAGATGTGGAGCCACTAGAATTCCCATACACTGCTGTTAGGAAGCAAAATGGCACAGCCACTTTAGAAACAGTGTAGGCGTTTCTTATAAAGGTAGCACACACTTACCAGTAATCCTAGGTATTTACCCAAGAGAAACAAAAACTTAAGTTCACACGCAAAAAAACTATAAATGAATGTTTGTTGCAACTTTATTCATAATCATCAGATACTAGAAACCAAAATGTCCATCAACAGTGAGATGGATAAACAAACTGGTATATCCATACCATGAAATACTCCTTAGCAGTAAAAAGGGACAAACTATACACACAACAACATGGATAAATCTCAGATGCATTTTGCTAAGTGAAAGAAGCAGATCTGAGTGACTACTGATTGTATGATTCCATTTATCTGCTATTCTTAGAGATTATTGGTTACCAGGGACTTGGGGTGAGGGGATGTATTGATTATAAAGAGGCAGCATAAGGGGATTATTTGGGCTGATGTAACTCTTCTGTATCTTAATGGTGGTGGTGGCATAATACTGCTGCTTCATTTCTGAGCCAAGAGAAGAGTACACATTTTTTTTTTCCAATTTAGGGAGCTAACATGAGAAATCTTTTGCTTTCTGACTAAATTGAAGTAATTATATCTACTAGTTGAATTCTCTGAAAGGGCTTTTGTTAGAGCTCCAGCTGGAAATTTTAGAGTCAATGACAAGCCTAGGTCTCTAGAAAATTCTATCACAGATAAGATTGGTAGGCAGAATAATGGCTACCCAAAGATATCTATCACTTAGTCCCTGGAACCTGTGAATATTACCTGAAGTGGCAAAAGAGTCTTTCCAAATGCAATTTATGATAAGGATCTTGAAATGGGGAGAATAGCTTGGATCATCCAGGTGGGCCCAATCTAAATAAATGAATCCTTCAAAGCAAAAACAGATATGGCCAGAAGGAGCCATGAGTATAGAAGACTGGTCACTCCTTCTCCCTCATCCCTGATTTGTTTTTCTCCATAGCACTCACTACCATGTAGTAGGCAGAATCATGGATCCCCAAAGATGTACACACCTTAATCCCCAGAATCTGTGAATATATGTTACATGGCTAATGATGAGTGACGTTTGCCGATGGAATTATGTTTGCTAATTTGCTGACCTTCAAACAGGGAGATTATTTTGAATTGTCTAAGTGGACGAATGTCACAAGGATCCTGCAAAGTAGAAGAGGAGGGCAGAAGGCATCAGAGTGAGAGGAGAAGAGGACTCAGCCTGCCCTGGTTGGCTTTGAAGATGGAGGAAGGAACAATGGGCCAAGGAATGCACAGCTTCTAGAAGCTGGAAGAGGCAAGGAAAAGGCTTCTCCCTTAGAGGCTTCAGAAGGGAATGCAGCCCTGCTAACACCTGGACTGCTGCCCCATGAGACCCATCTCAGACTTCTAGCCAATACTGCAAGGTATTAAGTTTGTGTTGTGTCAAGCCAATAAATTTGAGGTAATTTGTTATAGCAGCAATAGAAACTAATACATAAGAGGAATATATTACATGTCATATAGGAAACTTTCCTTTTAAATAGGGGGAAAATAGTTTTTTGAAGATTTTATTTATTTATTCATGAGAGACACAGAGAGGCAGAGACAACAGGCAGAGGGAGAAGCAGATTCCTTGCAAGGAGCCTGATGCGGGACTCGATCCCAGGACCCCAGGATCACCCTGAGCCAAAGGCAGATGCTCAACCGCTGAGCCACCCAGGTGTCCCAACAGGGGGAAAATATTAATGTTAAGCAGGTTTCCTGGTTCTTCATCTCTTAACTCTAGGCAGGTGATCTATTTGTCTACTTTATATTTTTTTAAAGATTTTATTTCTTTATTCATGAGAGACACACAGAGAGAGAAAGAGAGAGGCAGAGGGAGAAGCAAGCTCCATGGAAGGAGCCCGACGTGGGACTCGATCCCAGGTTTCCAGGATCAGGCCCTGGGCTGAAGGCGGCGCTAAACCACTGAGCCACCAGGGCTGCCCTATTTGTCTACTTTAGAATCAGTCTCATTGTCAATGGTATCAGTTCTGATCCTGGCAGTAAACTTATGGGGGTATTTATTGAGAATAAGATTGAGTATTAAACTGCACTCCTGGGGCACCTGGGTGGCTCAGTCGGTTAAGTGTCTGCCTTCAGCTCAGATCATGATCCCGAGATCCTGGGATGGAGTCTCACATCTGGCTCCCTGCTCAGTGGGGAGTCTGCTTCTCCCTGTCCCTCTGCCCTGCATCCCCCCCCCACTCGTTCTCTCTCTCTCTCTCTCAAATAAATAAATAAAATATTAAAAAAACAAAAACAACTGCAGTCCTGTTGCCTACACTAGTGTTCCTGAAAACACTTTCCTGCCTCCTGACCTCCTCTTGCACAGGGGACTTGACCTCATTCTGAACCCAGATGCATGCTATATCTGCCTCTGCCTCGAGGTCCATGTTCTGATCTGCTTTTCCTACACATTACATTACAAACTTGTGCCTCACATTTGCTTAACCCTGACATAACTTTTTCTTCCCTCTGCTTCTTGCCTGCTTGGAATTTTGTTTTGTGCCTATGTGCCAGAGGGGGAAAATGTATCATAATGATGTACTGGCAATACCTCCCTTCTTGTCCACAGGAAGGCTGAATGCTTTGTGTGTTTAGCTCACTCTTAATTTGTTGAATTAAGCGGGGTGACTGGCAATGAAGGGAGTTAAAATGCTGAGAGAAGACCAATTTGCTCTACCCACCACAGGTTGAGGGTGATCCTTGGAAGAAACTTTTATGAGAAGGTTGCAGAGGCAGAAGAGATGGGTGAGCTATAAGCTGTAGAACTTTTGAGGAAAGAGAAACTCGATGCATATTTAAAAGGAAGGTTTCTTGTATGATGTGTATGGTATTATTATTGTCTTTGCTTCCCTAAGAAACTCTCAATAAACGCTGGCTCTATGGGGGCTTGGATGCGGTAAGTGCTGAGGGTGGCCTTAAGGCAAGGGAGGGATGACCCCAAGCAGCCCAAGTAGTTTCAGATGGCAAGTGAGGTGAGAGCAGGAGGTGGTCTTTCCAGTGGCAGGCCTTTCAGCAGGGTTTTGCTCAGTCCTCAGGGTTTCTTCAGAAAGGCTGCAGGGAGAAGCCATGCCTCAGAGCAGTCCAAGACAGAGAGACACAAGGGGACATTTACCTGCCCTTTCCTGTCTTCATTTCCCTTGGCCAAGGTTCCCCCTATACAGAGCCAAACTCCCTGAACTTCCAGGTGGTGTGGTCTGGCCCCTCTGTGACCCCTCTGGAAATTAAGTTCACACATTGCTGCATGGCTGGTTCCTTGCAGTCTGGAAGTGTGCTGTGACTCGCATGGGTGGGGCTCTGATGGAAGAAAAGAACAGAAGAGGCAGTGGAGGGAATCTGAGAAGGCTGACAACATTTGCCTCTAGAACTGAGAAAGGCTTTTATTTAAATCTTGCTCCAAATTGTGAATTGTGTTTTTTTGGTTTTTTTTTGTTGTTGTTGTTGTGTTTTTTTTGGTGTTTTGAGAGAGAAAGAAAGAGTGAGCTCAGGGTGGAAGGGCAGAGGGAGAGGGAGAGAGGGAGAATCTTAAGCAAGCCCCATGCCCAGAGCCCGAATTGGGGCTCCATCTCATGACCCTGAGATCATGACCTGAGCAGAAATCAAGAGTCCGAAGCTTAACTGACTGAGTTACTCAAGTGTCCCAATGAATCGTGTTTTGAAAGCTAATAAATATATGAATTGACTGCAAAAAAAAAATACATGCATATATATATATATATATATATATATATATATATGAATTGACATTTCTTTTTCATAAAGACATACAAAAAACTACTGGGTAAACATTCCCTAAAGCTAGTTGACAATGCCCAGAAATCATATCTTTAGAATTCCAGATTATAACCACAGCATCACAGTCCTACCTGATGGGAGCTTCTACCATTTTGGTTTTTTTAAAAAGTCAAGTTTAAGTATTCAAGTAACATATATATATTTTGACGAGTAAAAAAAAAAAAAAATTCAAGCAAAAATCACCCTTCCAAGTGAAGGCGGTTGCTCTAGGCTTTTCTCTGCCCTTTCTTAACTCAGCCCTGAACTGAAAAAGGCATGATTTGATTGGCAAATTTGGGGGAAATAGAGTGGGCATGCGCAGTTCATTCTCATCCACTTTCCTCCTTGGAATCCTGCCGGCATGGGGTCTGATCCAGGGGCAGGCTGACGCTCCCACCCACTGGGAGGCAAGTCAGCTTTGAACCAGAACTGCTGGCTCTTGCTCTTGGTGTTGGGAAGCTCTTCTAACTCAACTCAGCTTTATCGGGAGCTAAGTCATACTTTGGCCTTCTTCTTCCACTCCTTTATCTTAATTCATTTGTTTTGAGCTCAGAAAAGGAGGAAGGGTGGTATTTTTGGGTTCTGCTTCAGTGTTCCAACACTTCGTGTACTGGCCAGAAAACTGATGTGTGAGAAATAAGATGCACAATTAGGGAGAAGCAAATGAATACCCGTGGAGTGGCTGAGGCTTCGGAGTGGCAAGGGATTGGCCTTGGCCCTGGGGTCTTGTTATTTAGTGTGTGCAGGACATTTCGATCTTGGCAGTTTGTATAGGCCTCTGTTGAGCCAGGTAGGTTTTTATGATGGTGCAGTTGGCTCTTAACAGTGGGGGCCTGGGAAAAAAAGACCCTGGAAAAGCCACTCAGAAGCTGTAAGAGGGCCTTGGCAAGGGCGCAGGGGCCAGCAAGCTGAAGAGGCCTTAATAAGCAGTTACAAGCTGAGGCTAGGATTCATTGTAGGGAGAAAGAAAGTCTTTTCATATATTGCCCTGTTAGATATTAAAGGAGTAGAAAAATATTTGCTGTTTTTAAACTGTGGGGGCAGCTTGGTTCCCTTTGGACCGCAGAGCACTAGTGAGAGATTGGTTTTCAATGTGCTAGTACTAGGTCTAGGTGGGTAATGTAAACAAACAGCCCTGATTTTAATTCCTCTTTTTTTTTTTTTAATTCCTCTTTTATGTTGCTTTGAACTTCTTCAAGGGCAAAAGTGGATAGGCTAAGTTTGCGTTTTTGTAGCTTAAAAACCATGCCTTCTACTTGTCTTGAAGTTTGCTAGAAACTGGTTATTTAAATATGATGGAGAAATCCTCCCCAGGTGATGGTTTTCTTAGGCCTAAGGAATTTCATAGAAAGAGATGGTGGAAAAAGCCATTGCAGCAGGTGCCTGGGTGGCTCAGTGGTTGAGTATCTGCCTTTGGCATTGGTCGTGATCCTGGGCCCCGGGTTGAGTCCTACATCAGGCTTCCCAGTGGGGCCTGCTTCTCCTTCTACATCTCTGCTTCTCTCTGTGTTTCTCATGAATAAGTATATAAAATCTTAAAAAAAAAAAAAAAAGCCATTGCAGCACAGGAATAGAAAATGCTTCCTGGTTATCGTGGGAGCTCTGTTACTGGATGGAATTCACCTTCATTGCAACCCTACAGTGCAGGCACCTAAAGTTCACAAGGGGATGGAAGTTAAAAGGTTTTAAGTATCTGGATGGGAAAGAACAGCTCCATAAATAAGGTGTATTGATGGAAGGTATTGCCACTGCAGATTTCTGCCTTTGCAAGAAGGCAACATCCCCTCAAATGCCTTGCTGCGGGTAAAGCTTCCTAGATATGGTAAATGCAAGGTACCATCATGGGAAATTTCCTGTAGCTAGTAGTTTTCTAACTGTTTTTTTTTAATTTATTATTATTAAATAAATTATTATTATTATTATTACTTTTTAAAAGATTTTATTTATTTATTCATGAGAGACACAGAGAGAAGCAGAGACACAGGCAGAGGGAGAAGCAGGCTCCATGCCCCGGAAGCCCGACGTGGGACTCGATCCTGGGTCTCCAGGATCGCGCCCTGGGCCAAAGGCAGGTGCTAAACTGCTGCACCACCCAGGGATCCCAAATTATTATTTATTTGAGAGAAAGAAAGAAATAGAAAACATGAGTGGGGGGAGGGGTTGAAGGAGAGGGAGAAGCAGACTCCCCACTGAGCAGGGAGTCAGATGTGGGACTCAGTGGCAGGACCCTGGGATCATGACCTGAGTTGAAGGCAGACCCTTAGCAGACTGAGCCACCCAGGCATGCCCTAACTGGGTTTTAATGGATAGTCCATAGATTCTGGATTGTTGGTCTCAATCACCTTGCTTCTTGGTGAGGCTGCTGTCTCTGCAACAGTCTCTGGCAACCCAAAATACTGATTCTGGGTATTTTTCTTGAGATACCTGCTAAAAATCACTTATCTGGGTATGGTATATGTAGAGCTGGTGCTATGATCATTTTGCCTCTCCCAAATCTGTAGACTCTAGGAAAAAGCACATTACAGACTTGCTGGTGTAATTAATCTAATCTCTAATTGGGCCCTGTAGGAGCTGCCCCCGTTCCAGTGAGATCCAGCTTAAGGTGTAGTTGCTAAAGATCTCCAACTCTACCCAGACATTGAAATCCCCTCCTGCTGAGACAGAGCAGAATAAAAAGTTGGGGCAGACAAATTTTGGACCTTAATTTCTTTGAATTTTAACCCACAAAAATAGGATTCATTTTATTTTGAACCTTACTTTCTTTGAGCTTTCATGCCTCATGATTTGGATTTCAATCCTTGGACTTTAATTTTTCCATAGACATTTGATCAAGTGAAGAAGTTTATGTTAAAAAATGTTTCCCCTCAAAACTATTGGCATTTTGTTATTGAGGTTTTGTTGTGCATATTAATATTGGAATAGTGTAGTTTTGTCATTTAATTTCCATCCTGATCCTCTGATATGCTTTGCAGACAACATGGACAAGCAGGATAAAAAATGGGTGATAGAAAAATGAAAATTTCAGCTTTGGATACAAAATGGCATTGGCCTATTTAAGTAATGCATTATAAGGAACTATTTGGAACATTTTGTGAGTGAAATCTCTTTCCCATCAGTGTTCTTGGGAGGGGAAAAAGTTGGGCGATACAAGAGGAAGATGGGGCAGGACAGTTCTGATAGGCTGCTCGGATCCTCTCAAGAATGTCAGATACACCTCTGGTTGACATAGATTTAATGTCTATACCAGTGGTTTAAGAGAACAAAATTCAAGGGAATATTAGTGGGGGAATAATTCTTAACGAACTTTTTTTTTTTTTTAAGATTTTATTTATTTATTCATGAGAACACAGAGAAAGAGAGAGAGGCAGAGACACACGCAGAGGGAGAGGCAGGCTCCATGCAGGGAGCCCGACGTGGGATCAGGCCCTGGGCTGAAGGCGGCGCTAATCCGCTGAGCCACCCGGGCTGTCCAACTTTTGATATTACCTTCTGTCATAGGCTGAATGGTTCCCCAAACATGTCCATGTCCTAATCCCCAGAACCAATGAATATGTTACCTTATGGTGTAAAAGGACTTTTCAGCTGTAAATTAAGATCCTGAGGTGGGGAGGTTATCCTGGATTATCTGGTTGGCCTGATGTAATCACAAGGGTCCTTACAAGAGGGACACAGGAGGAGTTAAGAGTCAGAAGAAGGTGATGTGATGTGATGACAAAACCAGAATGGAAATGATGAGCTTTGGCAATGGAGGAAGGAGACACAACCCAACAAGCACAGGCAGCCACAAATGACAAAAAACAATCAAACAACAACAGAAACAAAAAACCTGCCAGCACCTTGATTTTACCTTAGTGAAATGGATTTTGGACTTTTGACCTCCAGAACTACTAGAGAATAAAGCTGTGTTGTAAGTAAGCATGTTGTAATTTGTTACAGTGGCAACAGGAAATGAATACACCTTCCATAGCGAAGGAACCTAACTTAGTAGATCTGTGTTCTTGGAGAGGGTAATGTAATCTGATTGGTAAATTCTGGAATAATAAATTGAGCATCATGGGCTTGGTTTTATTCTTCTTCCTCTTCGGGAGCCAGTCAGCCCAACAAAGCACAAGCTCTGCTTCTTGCAGGGCAGGGCCACCCAGGTTCGCTTGGGGCTGCCAGGTTCGGCTAGTTAAGTCTATATAATTCTGTGGTTCAGTAGTAGTAAGCTCATTTGCCTTTCATGCTAAGCTACATTCTCCAGTGGCTTTTATCAGAAAAGGTGATATTTTGGTTCCTATGGACCACTTTTTTGATTATTTCTCTCTGTGTATAACTCAAGCATGGTAAAAATGTGAACTTGAAGATAATAGATTGAACAAAAATGACACAATCTTTTCTTCCAGCCCCAGATTTTGTTGAGGAATGGAAAAGATAGATGAAGAGCATCACAACTGCCTGGGAAACAAGAGGGGGAACTTTCCAAGGACCAGAAATTGTGACAAAAATGCCTGCATGACATAGGACCAGGTGAAGAAGATCTACTATAGATAAAACTAGAATAGTGGTTTTTTTTTTTTTTTTTTTTTTTTTTTGCTGCAAAATATAGGAAAGCCCTGAATGCTCATCACCCCAAAGTGGTAGATGCTAGCAGCAGGAAAATGTCCAAAGTTCAAATAAATTGACTAATTCAGGTACCACAGCCAAGGATATCTAGATGGTTTGATCCCTCCTTACCACCCCTTCAGCCAGATGATGTAATAATGGTGGTGTCTATTTCCAGTGGGAAGAAAAATGGGAAGGATGGTGACAGTAAGAAAGATAAAGCAGGGCCCCACCTTCAGGGTCTGGAGGTATCTGGAAAGAATGAGGAGCACCCGCATCAGAACACTAGCCACCAAAGTATAACCAGTGGTACCTTCCATCCTTCCTCAAAACAGGCTAAGAAAAGTGATGCATGGGGTACCTGGGTGGCTCAGTGCCTAGGTGTCAGCCTTCAGCAGTGGTGATCCCAGAATCCTGGGATCGAGTTCCTCATTGGGCTCCCCATGGGGAGCCTGCTTCTCCCTCTCCCTATGTCTCTGCCTCTATCTCTCTGTGTCTCTCATGAATAAATAAAATAATAAAAAGAAAGAAAAATGATGCAATGATGTAAGTCTAACAGGGGCTATCTTCTATAGAGATGAGCAAAAAATTAAGAATGCCTAACTTGAAAGAAGGCCACCTTGGAAGAGAGAGGATATGCAACAGATGGTTAAACTTCCATTTGAGAAAATGGAGTTAGTAGAGCAAGAGGGCTGTAAAGCCAAAGGGCTTTATTTTATTTTACTTTTAAAAGATTTTATTTATTTATTCATGAGAGACACACACACAGAAAAAGAGAGGGGTGGAGACACAGGCAGAGGGAGAAGCAGGCTCCATGCAGGGAGCCTGACGTGGGTCTCGATTCGGGGACTCCAGGATCACGCCCTAGGCTGAAGGCAGGTGCTAAAACGCAGAGCCACCCAGGGATCCCCGGGGTTAGGACTTTATAATAAGTTACGATTTGTGTTGTGAAATAAATGTGAAGGCATAATACACTTAAGTATGAATAAATGAGATTATGGTATCTGATTGTTGAAATAATAAATGGACATTCTGGATCTATAGGGAAAGGATGAACTATTATATTACTGATGCTGGGATAACCCCTTATACATAGTTAGATACCTAGCTCACATGATATACCAAAAATGAGTTCTAGATAAGAATTCAAAGTGAAATGATGTCTGGGTGGTTCAGTGGGTTGAGCGTCTGCCTTCGGCTCAGGTCATGATCCTGGGGTCCTGGGATCAGGTCCCTTCATTGGGCTCCCTGTGGGGAGCCTGCTTCTCCCTCTGCCTGTGTCTCTGCCTTTCTCTCTGTGTTTCACATGAATAAATAAATAAAATCTTTTTAAAAAAATTATTCAGAGTGAAAAGCAAATTTTAGAAGAGAAAACGAGAATATGTTTATGATCTTGCTTTTTAGTATAAAACAAAGCCAAAAACAGAAACCATAAAGGAAAAAACTGATAAATTATTTTTAAAGGTTTATTTATTTACTTTATATATAGAGAGAGCATGAACAAGTGGGGAGGGAAGGGAGAGAGAGAGAATCTCAAGCAGACTCCTTGCTGAGCGTGGAGCCCAAAGCAGGGCTGGATCCCACAACCATGATATGATGAGTAAGCCAAAATCAAGAGTCAGTCACTTAATGGGCTGAGACGTTCAGGTGCCCCCAAAATTGATAACTTCAACAACATTTTAAAAAGATTTTATTTATTTGTTCATGAGAGACACACAGAGAGAGAGGCAGAGACATAGGCAGAGGGAGAGTATGCTCCCTGCAGGGAGCCAGATGAGGGACCCGATCCCAGGACCCCAGGATCACGACCTGAGCCGAAGGCAAACACTCACCACTGAGCCACCCAGGCATCCTAATTTCAACAACATTAAAAGGAAAATAATGTCTGCTTATTAAAAGTCACAAAAATTGAGAAGTTACACTTGAAAGAAGACTTGTAGCAGATAAAATCCACAAAGACTGGCATACAGATTAGATAAAGAACTCCTACAAATCAATAAAATATAAATAACCCATTAGAAAAAGACAAAAATATAAACAGAAAAAGAAGATCAAATGACAATAGAATGATCGACATTATACTAAGATTCATAAAAATGCAAATAGAAACGATAACGTGACTCAATTCTTTTTTTTTAATTTTTTTAATTTATTTATGATAGTCACAGAGAGAGAGAGAGGCGCAGAGACATAGGCAGAGGGAGAAGCAGGCTCCATGCACCGGGAGCCCAATGTGGGATTCGATCCCAGGTCTCCAGGATCGCGCCCTGGGCCAAAGGCAAGCGCCAAACCGCTGCGCCACCCAGGGATCCCCGTCGTGACTCAATTCTTTAGGAAGTTTGGCAAAAATAAATACAAATATGATACCAATTGTTGGTGAGGGCATAGAGCCATAGGACCTATCCCTCCTCTGTACTTCTGGAGGGAAGTTAACTGGTATGTTCACTTTGGAGAACAATTTGGCAATGTCTGGAAGAGTTCCACTCAGAGGCATTCACTCTAGAGAAAATCTTGCCATAGAAAGTCAGCAGCACTCGGACAAGAAAGTTCAGAGTGACATTGTTAAAATAGAAAAATGAGAAACATACATTAGAAATATATGGCAATGAGTAGTTAACTTGGATTCTATTTATAAAAAGATTACTATAAATGAATCTGTTTAGATTGTGATTAAACTTGAGACTTGAGCTACAGATTCAGAATAGGGAGGACTTTTACAAATGTAAAAAAATGAATGAAAAAAAAAACTGTCCAAAAGAAATACATTCAGTAATATATCATTTATATAAAATTTAAAACCAAAAGAATAATATGTATTGTTTCAAGATACATACAGAGTAGTTAAAGCCTAACAAAATGCATGTCCTGATAAGCAGGACAGTGTTTGCCACTAGAAGAAGAGGAGAATGTCATCACTAAGAAAACAACAGATCAAAAAAAGTAACTATAAGAGATTTGAATCAGGGATCCCTGGGTGGCGCAGCGGTTTGCCTTTGGCCCAGGGCGCGATCCTGGAGACCCAGGATCAAATCCCGCATCGGGCTCCCGGTGCATGGAGCCTGCTTCTCCCTCTGCCTATGTCTCTGCCTCTCTCTCTGTCTTTCTCTGTGACTATCATAAAAAAAAAAGAGAGAGAGATTTGAATCAGACAATTAAAATCTTTTTTTTTTTTAAAGATTTTATTTGTTGATTCAGGAGAGAGAGAGAGAGAGAGAGAGAGAGAGAGAGGCAGAGACACAGGCAGAGGGCAAAGCAAGCTCTATGCAGGGAGCCTGACGTCGGACTCGATCCCCGATCTCCAGGATCAGGCCCTGGGCGGAAGGTGGTGCTAAACCGCTGAGCCACCTGGGCTGCCCAAAATCTTTTTCAAAAAAGATTTTATTTATTTATTCATGAGAGACCCAGAGAGAGACAGAGGCAGAGACATAGAGAGAGAGAAGCAGGTTCCATGCAGGGAGCCCGATGAGGAACTTGATCCTGAAACTCCAGGATCACACCCTGAGCCGAAGGCAGGCGCTTAATTGCTGAGCCACCCAGGGTCCCAGACAATTAAAATCTTAATCAAACTTTGGAAACATATATAGCCCATATATGTTGGTATATATATCCAACAGGTAGAGAAATAGCATTTTCTTCAATTCACATAAAACATGCACAAAAATTGAGCATGAATGTAGTAAGCCTATTTCCCAACCTGTATACTATGTAGGTCCCATATATCATGGGCCAGAGTTTGAGGATTGTAGCCTGACTCCTACTAGCATGCTAGTCTGAGTCTCTACATTCTTTTGCCCTCCTAAGATATGCAAATATGATTTTCTAGATTTACCACAACACCAAAAAGTTTGGGAAGCATAAAGAAAAGCTCAACAAATTTCAAGCTGCATGCAGTGATTACAGTGTAATAAGGTTAGAAACTGAGGGTAAAAGGAACCATCCTCAAAAAAAAAAAAAAAAAAAGGAACCATCCTCAAATCTATACACTTAAAAAAAATTAAGAATAAGAAGAGACATTTAAGGGATGCCTGGGTGGCTCAGTGGTTGAGCATCTGCCTTTGGCTCAGGTTGTGATCTGGGGATCCTGGGATAGAATCCCACATCAGGCTCCCCTCAGAGACCCTGCCTCTCCCTCTGCCTATGTCTCTGCCTCTTTCTCTGTCTCTCATGAATAAATAAAATCTTAAATTTTTTTAAATTAAAAAATAATAAGAGACATTTAAAAAACTCTTGGATTAAAAAAAAAAACTCTTGGATTAAAATGAAAGTCAAAATAGAAGTAAATTACCCAGAATGGAGCAAAAAAAAGAACGCTATATATTAAGACCCATGGAATGGGGTAGAAGAAGGAAATCTGTAGTTTATTTATTTTAAATTTATTTATTCATTTTCCATAACCCGTCCACCCAGTGTGGGGCTTGAACTCAAGACCTTGGGTCAATAGTCACATACTCTATCAACTGAGCCAGCCAGGTGCCCTGGAACTCAAATCAGTAGGTTTAAATGGACTTTTATGGAAAACAAGAAAGACAGAAAATAAGTGCCTAGGCTTTTAACCCAAGAAGCTAGAAGAATAGCAAACCCAAAGAAAGTAAAGTAAAGAAAATAATAAGGATAAAATGGGAAACTAGGGAACATATGTCTTACTTTTTTTTTTTAAGATTTTTAAAAAAATAATCTCTACACCCAACCTGGGACTTGAATGTACAGCCCCAACATCAAGAGTTGCATATTCCACTGACTAGCCAACCAGGTGTCCCATGTTATTTTTTTTTAATTTTTATTTATTTATGATAGTCACACACAGAGAGAGAGAGAGAGGCAGAGACACAGGCAGAGGGAGAAGCAGGCTCCATGCACCGGGAGCCCGACGTGGGATTCGATCCCAGGTCTCCAGGATCGCGCCCTGGGCCAACGGCAGGTGCTAAACCGCTGCGCCACCCAGGGATCCCCCATGTTATATTTTTATTTGCTAACCTGGCAACCCTAAAATTAATGAAAATAGAAAACGAAAGTAGGTTTTTTCTTGGGGGGGAAAACAAGCAATTAGGTAAACTTTTAGAAAGTTTAATCAAAGAAAGAAGATAAACTTAATTTTGGGATAGAAAGAGACACACTATAGATATAGAGGAGATTTTCAGAGTTATTAGAGAATACCACATGTAATTTAAGCCAATATATTTAATGAAATGGACAATTATTGAAGATAACCTAAATGTCAAAAATTAGATCCACAATAAGGGAAAAATACGAATATGCCAATAACCACAAGAGAAATTGAAATGATTGTTATAAGAATACCTACTGAAAACGTACATGGTCCAAACATGGCCCGTGTTTTACAATGAATTCTCTCAAGCAGTCAAAGAACAGATGATTCCCATCCTATCCAAGCCATTTCAGAGCACAGAATTAAATGGAAAGCTATGTGATTCATTTATAATCCTGATGAAAAGGACAACACAAGAGAAGAAACAGCCTCAGTCCTATATAGGAACACAGAAGAATCAGTGACTCAATAAGCAAATCTAATTTGGATGTGTTCTGAAAGAATAATGCATCATGATTAATTAAAATTTATCTTAGAATGGAAGAATAATCTAAATTAAAATTGTTAACTAATTTACCACATTAACAGATTCATTTAGCAGGGGTTTATTGAGTTCCTATTACCTATCAGGTGCTGTACAGGAAATGGGGAAAAACAATGGTAAACCAACAGCTTAAAAAAAAATGTTCAACTGTATCTGCCTAAAACTCTACCATAACAATCAGAATTCTGTAAATCTTTCATTTAAGTAAAAATACAGTCACTTAAGTAATAGTAATTTCCTAAACTAAAAATGAGCAACCATTCAAAATTAATTTAGAAAAGGGATTTTTTTGGGACACCTGGGTGGCTCAGCAGTTAAGTGCCTGCCTTCAGCTCAGGGCGTGATCCTGGAGTCCCAGGATTGAGTCCCACATCAGGCTCCCTGCATGGAGCCTGCTTCTCCCTCTGCCTATGTCTCTGCCTCTCCTTCTCTGTGCCTCTCATGAATAAATAAATAAAATAAAATAAAAAAAATAAAATAAAATAAAAAAAGAAAGATTTTTTTTCAAGTCTGCAGTTCAGGGACACCTGGGTAGCTCAGTCTGGTTAAGCTTAAGCACCTAAACTCTTGGTTTCGGCTCAGGTCATGATCTCAGTCTTAAAATCAAGCTCCTGCATCAGGCTCAATGCTGGGTGTGAAGCCTGTTTAGATTCTCTCTCCCTTTTCTTCTGCCCCCCTCCCCACTGTTATCTCTCTTTCTCTCTCTTAAAAACAAAAAAAAAAAACCCCAAAAAAGGTTCAGTAGTGGGTGTGATTGAAAGTTGAATCAACCCTGAAAAGAACTCACTACTGCAGGATACAGGATGGTAGAGTAAAATAGTACATAAGGGAATAAAAGGAGGCAAACATTTTGATGAATCGGTATTTCTTATTGTTTCTGAAGGATGTGGTAGGCCAGGGCAAAAGGATTGGTGTGGTCCATACATGCTTTCTGGAGAAGCAGGAGGAAGAAGAGGTCCCCCTGGACACACTGGCAACATAGAACTATGAATTAGAGAATGAGGTGTGTCATAGATAATTTTATTGGTCAGTTTGCTAGGCTGTGGTGCCCAGTTGTTTAGTCAAGCACCAGTCTAGATGTTGCTACGAAGGTCATTTTTTTAGATGTGATTTACGTTTATATCAATAGACTCTGAGTTAAGCAGATTACTCTGAATAATGTGGGTGGGCCTTGTCAAATCAGTAGAAGGCCTCAAAGGCAAAGACTGAGGTTTTTCAAAAAGGCAAATCTGCCTCCAGATTGCACTGTCTACTACCATCTGACTTTCCAGTCTGCAGATTTCACACTCAAAATTGCAACATCAACTTTTCCCTGAATTTCTCGCCTGCCAGACTGCTCCACAAAGTTCAGACTTGCCTGCTCCACAATTGTGTGAGCCAGTTCTTTAAAATAAGTCTTTCTCTCTGTGTAGATCCTGTTGGTGCTGTTTCTCTGGAGAATTCTACTACAAGGCAGAAGAACACAGTCTTCGAGCAAAGGAAAGACTGAACGGAATGAAAAGATCTGCTCTTAAATGAAGCTGAGGCTGTGTTGAAGAACTATACTGGACAATACTGTGTGTCAGATGGAAAGGTCTGAGTGATTGCAGGGGGGTTGAGTATGTTCTGGTGTTTTTACCCTCCTTGTTATGCCAGCAGCCAACTTCCCAGATTTCTTTTCATCAGTTTTTTCCATCAAATCTGCTTCATCATAGAATACAGAACTGGACCCGTGTGGTTTTTCATAAGTAGCCTCCAGATTTGCTTCTCCCCATGACTCTTCACAAAGGCTGGCATCTTGTAAGGATAACTCCACACCATCTTAATTTCTTAATATGACTAATCTCTTCAACAATTTTACATTTTCCTCCAATTAGTTTGTCAAGTTGTATAGTGAGTTTCCCTCCTTCCTCTACAATGCTTTCTGTTTTGTTTTTTGGTATTTGTTTGTAATTGTAAAATACACTTTACCATTTTAATCATTTTAAAGTGTGCCATTCAGTGGCATTAAGTACCTTTGTAGTGTTGTGCAGCCATCACCACCATCCATTTCCAGAACTTTTGCATCATCCCAAACAGAAGTTCTGCATCTGCGAAGCAAAAACTCCCTATTTCCCTCTCCTCCCAACCCCTGGTAACCACTATTCTACTTTCTCTCTCAATAAATTTGCCTAGTCTACATACTTTATACAAGTGGAATAATACAATGTTTATCTTTTTTTTTTTTTTTTGTAATCTCTACATACAACATGGGGCTTGAACTCATGACCCTGAGATCAAGAGTTGTATGCTCTTCCAACTGAGCCAGCCAGGGCCCCCCAATACTTGTCCTTTCTACAGTTGCTTTTCAGCTGAGTGAAAAGTTCTCCCAAGTGAAAAAATCACAAAATCTTCCAATAATTTTTGCCCACACCATCATCTCCAAAAAAACTCAGAAATTAGAACTTAGACTCATGTTTTCAGGCAACCAGACTACAGTTGTAAGCTTCTCCAGGAGAAGCCTGACACTCATTTCTGAGGCAGTCTGTAGCCCCTTTGTGGAGTTCACGTTCACCACAGACCAGCTTGTGTTGTGGTGGCTGTTGGCCTGCTGTACCACAGCAGACGCCTCCCCACTTTCCAGAACACTCCACAACCTTCAGCTGGAGCCAGACCTGCACTGGCATCTGTCAGTGGAGCAGGCTCAGGGTTCAGAGAGGCACACTGACAAGTTCACTCTACATTCCTTCTTCTCATCAACACTTGAAACATTAACAATTTATGGGGTGCCTGCATGGCTCTATTGGTTAACCGTCTGCCTTCAGCTCAGGTCATGATCGCTGGATGCTGGGATTGAGCCCTGCATCCTGCTCCCTGCTCAGCGGGAAGTCTGTTTCTCCCTGTCCTTCTACACCTCCTGACTGCTCGTGCTCTCTCTCACAAATAAATATAAATAAATAAATAAATAAATAAATAAATAAATAAATAAATAAAATCTTTAAAGGCAAAACAAAACACCCTCCACCCCAAACCCGTTAACGATTTGCTTTACTTTTTACTGAAAAATAAAACTGGTTAGAATATGACACAAAACAAATCATTATAACCACCACCAGAGTCAAGAAATAGAATCTTGTCAGCCACCCCAGAAATTCTTATATGTGCCCCATCCCCAACTCAATCCCCTGCATTCCCTCACAAGTAGTCATTCTTTTGATTTTTTTGGAACTACTTTATTGAGGTATAATTCACATACCATACAGTTCATGAATTTGAAGGGTGGAAGTAAATGGATTTTAGTATATTCCCAGAGTTTTGCAACCATCTCCTAACTTTTACAGAACTTCTTCATACCCACTATATAGAAGAAAGGCAGGATAAATGTTTGTTCTGTCCCTTAATTTATCAGTTTTCAAGATATTAAATTAACTTTCTTACATACTTCAGAGGTGACTGGGTTAGTTGAGGTTTTTATGCTTTTGTTTTTGGGCATTTTGTTGTTGTGCTTATTGTCTTGTTTTGTTTGTTTTTAAGTGGGCTCCATGCTCAATGTGGAGCTTAAATTCGTGACCTTGAGAACAATAGTTGTGTGCTCTACCGACTGAGCCAGGAAGGTGTCTCTGTTTTTCGTTGTGGGTTTTTTTTTTTTTAAGATTTTATTTATTTATTCATGAGACACACACACACACAAAGAGAGAGAGAGAGAGAGAGAGAGAGAGAGAGAGAGAGAGGCAGAGACATAGGCAGAGGGAGAAGCAGGCTCTCCATGCAGGAAACCCGATTCGGGACTTGATCCTGGGACTTGATCCTGGGACTTGATTCGGGACTCCAGGATTGTTCCCTGGGCGGAAGGCAGGTGCTAAACCCCTGAGCCACCCAGGGATCCCCTGTTTTTCGTTTTTTAAAACAATTGTACGCTCATGGTTTTAAATATATTTGGTGAGTTTCAATCCATTGCAAATTATTAGAGAAGCTCAAATTGTCCCACCTTGGCCAGTATTGCCTCCTATGTCCCTTTGACACAACTCTAGTTGTCTTTGATAGCTTTCTTGATATCTGGTATGATGAGCTTCTATAAAGTATGTCAGAGAGTTTGGTAATTTAAACAGTGTGATATTGATGTAGGAACAAGCAAATTAATAGAAAATGGAGGCTTAGTAAGTTGTAAGATTATGAAATTCCAGAGAAATTTTTACACCAAAACAGTCCTCCTCAGTCCTATTTGCTAGTAATATTTGCACTGTGATTGGCTGGCTCTGATTACCCCATAAACTATTTTCATAATTAGTACTGCCAGCAGTAGTGGCATACACTGCAACTTTTCTGCATAAAAAGTATTAATTACATACCTACCACCCATACAAATAGTGTTTCAAACTTAAGTGAAATTAATTTCCATTGCTGTGGCAAGTTTACTGAGAAATTGTTTCATAAATGGATATCCCTACTATGACTGTGAAAACATGTCAAGTGCCACTTTAGTGTCACAGACAGAAAGCACACACCTATGCAATATGGCTTACCCTATATTTATTTGTAAAAATCCAAGCATAGTTTAAAATATATGATGTCAATATTACTAGTCTTAAGTTTTTAAGAGGGTTCCTTATGATTATTCCAGGTAAGTGTATAAAAGAGATTAAGTGCTTTTCCTTCATCACTTATTTTCTTTAAAATCAGCTATTACAAGATATTTTTTTTACTTTATACATGTTTTTTAATTAAAATATAATCACTGAGAACTGAAGTTTACTAATTTTGATTTTATAAGGTTTGTAGCATTACAGAATAAACTGGGATTTATAAACCAGCTGTGATTAACAATGTAAAGAATTATTGAACTTGAATCAGATTTTTAGGAAAATTTTGTTCTTTTTCCCCTTTATGGTCTCACCTAATTTGAATCCTTCAAGAAGAATTTTTCCATACTATTTTTTGAGATAGAAGATAATTGGGGGGTGGGGGTTAAGAATGCATGTATGATACTCCATAAATTCAACATTCTTTAATAAAAGATTATAAACAAACAAAAAAGCTGTAAGGTTATGCAGTGGACATATTTTTTTTGCTGCCAGCATTTATTGCATTTTTTACTAGGAAGTTTCCCAAAGTTTATTTTGGCTGTCATTCCTTACTTATTCAGCCTTCTTGAAGTGTGTTGAGAGGAACTGATGGCATCATCAGCTCTAGTTGCTGCCTTGACGAACTTATGCCACTCATACTATCCAGTCACCTTGTTCACAGTGACTATTCTAGAGATATGGGCATGACCAGAATCCATGAAGACAAGAACACATTCACTGGGTCTTTGAGGAAAGACATGGGGATAATTTGCCTTCCTTTTGGAAGGAGGTATTTAATTTCAACTTCTTACCATTCATATATATTAAATGAAGGGGTACTAACAACCTAGAAGAAGAGTCTGTTATTAGAAGACACAGAAAGGTAAAAAAGCCATGTTGATAGATTGGTAATTTGGTTACATGATGTTAGGACTACAAAACACCATGAATAAAATTAAAAGACAAACAACTGGATGAAAGTAAACATTTCTGACATCTATAACAAGAATTGGTACCCTTATCATTGTAAACCTTCTATATGCGATAAGAAAAAAGGCAACCCAATAGAAATATGGGCAAAGGATACGAACAGATAATTCACATAAGAGGATATAGAAAGGGGAAAAAACCCAAACATATCAAAGGTGCTCAATTTCACTCACAATCAAGAAGGTACATTTTAAAATTACAGTATAACATTCCATAGCGTGAGTTTATTGAAGTGTAACTAACCATTTTCCTATATGATGGGAATTTACGTTATTTTTAATTTACTACATATAATGCTCAGCAGACATCTATCTTGCCTCCTTGAATCTATTTCTGCTTCTTTTTTAAAAAAATATTTTATTTATTTATTCATGAGAGACACACAGAGAGAAGCAGAGACATAGGCTGAGGGAGAAGCAGGCTCCCTGAGGGGAGCCTGATGTGGGACTCGATCCCAGGACCCTGGGATCACGACCTGAGCCAAAGCCAGATGCTCAACCACTGAGTCACCCTGGCATCCCTCTATGTCTGCTTTTGAGATATTAAAGTTGTAAGCTTAAACCTAGAACATGATAGCAGATATCTTGGGGTCTGGGCCTCAAACAGAAGTTGTATATAATGTCAATGTCCTCTGCAATTTACCATCAGAATGTTCTTTGGATTTTATTCTTAATCATGTGCTTAATCTAATACACTTAGGGACTACTGGAACTTTTTCTGGTCAGATTAGTTCAAACAGTCAGAAATTGTTCTCTTTCCTTGAAATAAAGCTGATTGAAGGATTACATTGTCTGAATAGCTGGAGGATTCAGAAACTCCTTTATAAAGACTTACTTTATTTTTAGATTTAAAAATATCCATGATTTCTTTTGGATTAATGGTCTAAACAGGCATGTTTTACTAGGATCTTACTGTTTTATTTATTGTAGCTATAGCTTGTTTGTTACTCACTGTATGTATGTTCCAGGGAGAGGAAATTGTTGACTCTCTGCCCAGGAGGGAGAGAAAATATTCATCAAATTCAAAATATGTTTGCCTTTTGTTCCAGCAGTTACACTTTTTGGAATCTCTCCTGCAGAAATACTCATCTAGAGTATATGCAAACATACACATGGCTGCACCCAAGAATATTCACTCTACTATTATTTGTAATAAGCATTCAATTGAAAATATGATAAATGCCCATCAATAAAGGAATGGGTAAATAAATCACCCTGGGAAAAAAATGTCTGTATACAAGAGGGTCCTGGCGGGCAAAAGAACTCACCCCACATGGTTCAAATGAAGAGATCTTAAGGAAGGATTTGCTTATGAAAGTTGAACAGTGTTAGACCAACAAAGAAGAGATGGGGAAGTGCCTACAGACTAGCAATTAGTGGAAAGCTATTACCATTCCTAGGGCTTAATGTAAAAGGGAGAGGACGAAACAGGAACCCAGTGACATTTGGAACCATAGAGGCAGGGCCACAAGTAGAACTATAGTCAAAGAGAGTTACATCTACTGCAAAAGACAGAGCTGAAGCAGGTGTAAGTAGAGAAGGAACACTCTAACTTCCTCCCTCTTATGCTCTGATCTCCTGCTGGTGCCTCCCATTGGCTGAACCCAGTCAGAGGCATCTGGCAAGGGATCCTGAGTGAAACCATCCACAGGGGTCAGCCCG